TCTTTTCCAACCTAAATGATTCTATGATTCTGTGATTCTGAAAAAAACAACTAAGTGGTAGCTGCTTTATCATCAAAAGATGAGTTTTGCATGAAGAGTAATCATGAGCAAAAATGGATTGCCAGAAGGGGGAAAAAAGATGATAAACAGCAGTTTAATCATCTTATTTGGAATATTTGCCACTTTTAGCCCACCATAGCCCATCTTATAGGATATAAACAAAACAGTTGACTTCCCATTGACTTTGTCCTGCAGGAGGTTCATCAGATGCCTTTGTGGAGTTGAATGTGACCTTGTCTGTTCCATAAAACGGTGTGTGGGCTTTGCCTGTGATCCTCTGTTCACCCTTTATCCACTGTGAATGTATGTAGTTGAAGCATGTGGCTGAGCAAGCTTTGTTTGGTTGATTTCAATGTAAAACAGGCAAATGTATGACAGCAATTCGTCAGCTGAATCACAAGAACTCATCTGATCGTGTCCTTGTCAGGACTACTGCATGTAAGGCTCCATTCAAGTTTTCTTTTTAAACTCAGTAATGCAGAGATGGTGGGTTTGTCATCATTTTTCACCAGAATGAAGTAAATGCTAAGGATGACTTCCTTGCTTTCAGTGGATCTCATTTCTTTTTAGATACCACATGAGTCTGTTTATGCTTGAACCTCATAAGAAAAGCAACATTTTTAAGAACTGTATCAAATGTTTAATATTATTGTTGTTGTTAACTATTATTAGCAAGTGTCAAGAAGTAAAGAAAGACTTTCTTCATGTGTTTTACTTCTACCATTATTTCAAATGATGACTGCTGATTAGTGAATTACTATCAGCACCCATACTATTAGTGCATAGTGAGGAAGTCAGTATAGTTTCACTGATTTATACTGGTTTAATCTAGGTTAGCAGTTTGGCCTTACATGTTTTCTTGTTTGTCTGCAAAAACCCCTTGGTTTCTGAGCAAGTTGATGTGTACTTTCCCCCTCTTTGACTATGTGAAACAATCAAAGAAGTCTAAGAAGGCACGCTCCGTCTGCAAATTGATAGCACCATGGAAACACACAGGCTGGAAGTACAATTAAAGACACATTCTGTTGTCCCAGAATGGACTACAGGACATTATCTTGGATTCAGCCTGTACTGGCTTTAGCTGTGGCCTGCCACATGTTGTTTATACTACTTTCTCTCACTTTCTCTGCCCTCAAAGGACACATTATTTGTTCATTTGTGCCATAGTGGTTTGTATTTCAGCATTTTTATTTCTTAGCTTTTGCTCCCATGCTGATGAAGAACACTTAAAAGACAGCAGCACATGAATGAAATCTGAAGGCACCATCAGAAAGCCTCTCTGTGCCTTTTTTCCCCTGCTTATTTAGGAGGGACCGTGGGTCAGGAGTACTGAAACGTTTAACAGGCCAGTGATATTAGTGGCTTCACAGTTTTTAGTAAGGTGTGTGGCACTTCTGCCTTCTTCCAGGGCTGCTTAAAATTTTCAGCTGATCCATGTCTCTGTACTGGTGTAATTATTCCAAGTTTAGCATCATACATTGCTGGTGCTTCACAGAAAATTTAGAGATTATTTTTTCCTGGTCCTTGTTTATCACTGTGCTCCCTTATCTCATTTTTCAGGCTGGGATTCTCACATAAGTATCTGGATTCCTCCTTAAATTGGATAGAAGCAGTACTACTGAGGACAAGCTGTTGAGTGGTTAGTGAATACTCTCTGTATCACTGAAAGAGAAATGAATTAAGATGGTAAATCCTTTTTAATAGTTACAATGCTAAACCCCCTCTCTTATGTCTGGAATTCAATAGACAGGAGCTCTTAATCAGTGAAGTAGGGCTTATTGTGTGGTCACATCAGCAGGTAGCTGATGTTAGGTGCTGAGCAAGAAAGCACATGGCGTTATGTGTGTACATACATAGGTGCATACACAGCTGTCAGCAGGAGCAGTTTGTGACTGATATTTAGGTGGAGAAGGGTGCAGTGTGACTAAATGTCAGCTAAGTGCTGGTCCAGGCTTCCTTTGGAGAGTGAGCTGCCCATGCTGAAGGCAGGTACCGAGAACCCATTTCTGCCTGGGCCCCAGAGTTCCCTCCAGACCGGTCACCGATCCATGGCTGCGTTCATGAAGGCAGCCAGACTGCACATGGGCACACTACAGAGCACTGTCGTTGCACCTGGTCCACCATTAAGTATCCCAATTTCAGCTTTCCCAGTCCTGTGTAGACACTTGGAATGCAAGCTGCAGTTAATGAGCAATGTGTGGAGAACGCATGTGGGTCATAGGGTTTGAGGGGTCAGCTCATGTGCGTTGCCGTCTTCTTTGCCATCACGAGCACAGCTGATGTATATTTTGGGAAGGCTGATGAGGTCAGAGGGTCTGCAGAAGAGGTACCCACACCTGTGACCCATGTATCGTTTGAGAATGACCCGTCCCAGAACCAACCTGTCGTATTCGCAGTGATGTGTATGCACCTTAGTGTCTTGGTCTACAGTCCAGAAACAGAGGCACTGTAATTCTGTGGGCATTTAACAACTGTGGTCTGGCTTAGAGTAATCAGTAAGTATAAAAACAATTGAGCTAAAAGCTGGGCATGCACAAACTGAATTACTGCTGAAGAAAGGAAATTAATTCCAAATATTTGAAGTCTAAGCTTGCTATGTTCTGCTTTCACATCTGTAAAATGGGGATAATACTGTTACTCTGAAGGTATTATAAGACTTCAAAATACATGTAATTTTTGTCTCATTATCATACAGAAAGAGAAATTTCAGAGCTGTTTGGAAACAGCACCTTCACCTTTCTTTAAGGTTAGGGTTGAGTACAGATAAGAAGTGCTCTTCAGTGTGATTTTAGAGCCTGGAGAGACCATCTGATTTTATTTCTTTTTTCCTTAGCAAACAGTCACATCCTGGTACAATATCCCCAGAATGCGTAATCTTTCATTCACAAGGAAGCTGGAACGTGCCAGCGGTAGGTGTCTGCCATCCGAATAAATATGCGCACAGGAAGGATTTATCCCGTGGGCAGCGGTGCAGTGATGGAGTGGTGAATCCTGCCCCCGATTGGCTGGGTCTGCTGCCGTCATGCTGCCAGGCAGAGCGCGGGCACCCGGCTGCCCGCTGGGCCAGAGGAGCAGATGTGCTGGGTGTGGAGGCACTGGCTCTCTTCTCAATGGGAAGAAATGCTGCCGTTAGGTTCCTACTGCTTTTTTTGTATGTGGGATTTGCAGCGTCTGTGGAGCAAATTATTGCGACAGTGGATGGCAGGTCAGTCGTTGAGTGTGTATCCACAAACTCTGTTGGTGGAGTTGAGTGCATGCTTTAAATGTTGTAATTTGGTCATTTGTGCTGAGTGGAAGCAGATTCAGTCACAGTTTATAATGTCAGGACATGATTTGAATTTTCTTTTCAGGTTTGAAAACACCTGGGGCTAATACAGAAATGAATTATTTTGAAGCCTACACTGCATTAGAAATGTGACTTTAAAACAATTCTATAAACAATACTAGAAATGGTTTTAAAATGAGAGTTTTCTGGGCATCTGTCTTACATTTCATTACATTTTAATCACTCTCACACTGACTTTCCCTGGTCTGTGTAAAAACAAAGTTATAAACAGAATAACAGCAAGGGTGTGAAAACTACTCCAAGAAACATAGGTGCTAAAATATTCTACTTGTGTAGAATGAATATGTGAAGCATGAGTTCAATATTGCAAAGAAGTATTAAACTTACAAAATTACTAGCGATTTGGATTTATCCTTGTTTATAGTGCTATTTCGTTCTTCAATGAAATGTAAATAGGAAGCCCAAATCGTAGTAGGGGAAAGAGGACTTTCTAGAGCCAAGAATTACAAAAGTGAAAACAGCCTAAACTGTATCAGTTGAATCATGCCCCAAAGTCACTAATAACACGCAGATCAAATATGCTGATGAAGATCACAGCTGGCAGTAAAATCTGTGCATTTAAGGCAAGAAGGACATGTGGTGATTTTCTTAAGCTTGTATTAAGAGATCTGATAGTCAGTTACCAATAAATACTACAATATGTTTTCATTTAAATGGCTTACTTGCTGCTCTGCTCTGCTAGTTTTCAGATTTGTTAGTGTCTTCCTAGTATAATTGCACTTTTCTGCAATCAGATAAAAACCTGAGAGAGAGCAAGCAGTAGAGCATTACATGAACTTTAATAAATATTAAGAAATGAAGTTCCAATCTTGATGCCAGTGAATTGAATGGGGATTTTGCCTTTGCATTCGGTGGAGGTGGGATTGTGCCTGCACAGTTTTAATCTGCTAGAAGTTCTACAAGCTCAATTTCTTTTTTTATATTAAAAATGAAAGCTTGAGTATTTTGTTCTGATCCAGTTCTTATCAGGCATCCATTAAAGTGCAGATCAAACCCCAGTACTCAGTACGTTACAATGTAATTATCTAAATCTGTCTCACTGTGTCAAATCACACATGAAGATACCAAAATATGACACAGAATACTTTAAAATTTAAAAACTGCAGGAGTCATGGGCTTTGTAGATATTTCTTAATGATAGAACTAAAATAGATACATTTAAAACTTAACATTTTGTGTTAGGATGTTTCTTAGAAGGAATTAGCTTTTGCCTGGAATCTGAGCTCCCAGGCTTACACATTTATAATTTCAATAACTTCATTGAAATTACTAATGACCAATGAATGTCCCTAGGACAACCAGTTTACTGCTACCAGGCACTCGGCAAGCATTCATCACCTTTCATCATAACTGTTTTTAGTGCTTTTGAAGGTTCACATGTTATTTTCCAATTAAATGCTTCATAAATTAATTGAAACTAGTTCAGCAGCCAGTGAGGTAGTCTGCAGCTGGACAACGTTAGTATTAGAGTGATAATTCTGGAGTAATTGAAATACTACAGTAGAGTGCATTTTGCCATCTGATGCAGTTTGTCAGAGCAGCAATATGAAAAGACTGTGTGAATGTGGCTTCCTTTAACCTGATGGCCTGAAAACTGTCTATGGCTGTCGATCACTGTTGGGTGCCAGGCTTATTCATGAGGCTTGTCTGAGTGGGCAAAAGACTGCTCACATGAAAGTCTTCAAGGGCTGGAGCCTATATGAACTTTTTCAGACAAACCAGCTAGACTTGGTTATCTTATGTAGATGGATAATGTCGTCTGATAAGAGGGAATTTACACTTCTTTGTACTTATAATCTTATTTACCTGGGTTTTACATAGTGATTAGTCATCCCAGTGCTTTGTATTAGGGCTAATCCAATTTCATTTGGGTTCCCTGACATACTTGGTGTGGTAAATTAACACACAACATACATGTCTGGCTGTAACTGGGCTAGTTATTTACAAATTGGTAAGGAAAAATATTAGTCATCAAGACATATACCAAGTCTGCAACTGAATTTGAAGTTTTAGGGCAGAGTGGCTGAAAAAAAAAAAATTTAAAAGTCTAGTCTCTAATTCAGTGTGCTAAAAATAATTTGCTCTCACTGATTTCAGGTCTAGCCACTGTTTGCTGATGGTTTTGCAGGAAGTGGAGGAGGAGGCTGTAGTGCTAGCTTCCTGTCTCTTATACATGTACTTAACATTTTTATATAAAAAAGGAAATACATATTTTTAATTTGTTGTTATTTTCCCATTTCTTCTTACAATGCTTTTGTTCTATGAAACATGCTCCGGCCTAGGACAAAAGGGCCTTGCTGCCCAAGTTCACCTGTGAATTCTTCAGCTTGCCTTTTGATTGGAAAGGCTGCTGATTTGACAGTAGGATGGCTATTGAAGGTCACCTGTTCCTGTCACAGATCACACACTTCTGTGACACCTCAGGGTTATGAGCATCAAAGGCAGCTGACGGATGTGATAACATCAACATCAACTTGTGCTTGCTTAGAAACCGGGAGGCGATCTTTCCCTTGCACCACTGAATAGACTGTCTGTGCCATAGCAATCTGGCTTTAGTAAGACAAAGCAAAGACTGCCAGCCTTGCCATGATGGATTTCCCTCGCCTTTCTCTAACGGGGCTGCATGCATTGTGCAGGAGGATAGGAGGCAACCAGCATTGCTAATAAACAGAGTAATGAACAGGAGTACCTAGGTGGAGTTACTTCACTTGCATGCCCCTGCCTGCCTCCTGAGGGTGCCTTGCCACGTGGCTGATGGTATTTCATAGAATCATAGAATGCTTTGTCATACTGTGGTACTTAGCACTGGTTCCCGGGTCACTCTCTCCACTGTATTCCTCATGAAAGCCTGAGCATTTCATTAGCTGTGCACATTCATCTATATTTGACTATCTTCATGCTGGGAGCAGAAACTTGACATTTCTTCTGGAGCAACATGGCTGCACATTGCTGTGGGTTTGCATGTGTTGTACCGGAGTCAAACTGCATTGTCACGAGCTCCCAGCCTGCGCCTGTGGGCTGCATGGAGGCTGGTTATAACGGTGCTGCTCAGGATGTAACCCCACAGGGGCATTCACAATGAGTGTGCCTCGTATATTCATTGCATGGTGTCCTCAAGGCTTGGTGTTGCCTATCAGCTAACATTCCTCAAGGTGATTTAACTGACATGACCATGGTATTAGCCTTATCCCAGAGAGGAAGCTAAGTAATGATTTTTTTTTTTTTTTTTAAATTGACAATCAGGAAAACAAAAATATCCCTTTCTCTTCCCAGAACAATATAAAAACCTTTCAAGTCCAGTGGGAGGATGAAATGAATTACACAATTTTACACCAGTCTCCTCTCATCCTGATGTTTTAGTCTGCACACTACAGCATGCTGATTTCCAAACTGGAGTAATGGGCTTTTAATTGTGTATATAGGGAGGAGCGACAAATATAACTAAGCATAACTAAATATATATAGGTACAATGAAATCTAACTGAAGTTAGTATAAATAAATCATTTACATTAATTTCCTTTTGGAGTGCCTCATTTTTTTAGCTATTATCATGAATAAAATACCCCAAAATTGCCTTTTCCAGCCTGAAGGCACAACCTGTTATGAAAGAAGACTAGAAAAGAAAAATAAGTCTGCATCAAATCACAAAACCCACGCTCCTAATCATTAAACAACCTAAGAGAGGGTTTTACCTGAACAGGAAAGCAAAATTCGGTCCATTGTAGACATGTCTTTCGTTACCTAGCAGTCAAAATGAGGATTATTTCCACCCATCTCTGAAGGCTGCTCGCTACTGGGACGAGACCTTTGGGCAGCTTAGAGACCTCAGCTCAGAGACCTCAGCTCAGTGCTAACTTCAGCTCCGGCAGTACAGTGGTGGGGAACGGGACCCACTGTGAAAGTGCACAGCCTCCTTGAAGTCACTGGGATTTAACAGCTCCAACTGAGGAGAGAGTTGGTCTCACTATATTTAATTAAAACTGCTAGATTGATTTTAAACAGTGTTACCTACCTTGCACTTTTTTGAATGTAAGATCTTTTTAAGGTTCTTTCAGCTCAGATCACAGTCACTGCTGCGGTGCTGCAGAGCCTAGCTGTCTTTTTGTCTGTGTTACGTCTTCTCTGGAGACTGTCTTCTGCTTGATTGCCCTGGTTGCTGAAGGGACTGAGCCGCCTTCCCGACAGTCTGGAGCAAAGCTGCTCATCAGACCTGGTGTTTGGCGGCAAAGCAACAAGCTGGAATACAGACTCTGCTTCACTTTTGTCTGTTTTTCCTTCTGGGTTTGAGGTGTTTGCAAGGGGACATAGGAGATCTATTTGTGGCAGCAGAGAGCCTGCCTGCAAAAGGACATTCTCGCTGGAGAGACACTGGTGAGAAGAAAAAGCCTGCTGAGGGCAAACAAGACATTGCATGTGAAATCTGGGCTTTGCTGAAGCTGGTAACATTGCCATGGGTTTCAGACAAGCCAGGTTCAGTGTGATCGAACTCCCTGGCTGCCAGAGCCGCATGGGCATGGCAGCAAGCGAGGCACACTCTAAGCCATCCCATGTTTCTCCTTTGTTGGCGTTACGTTGATCGTACTCGTATTTATCTGCCATTAAGGATGCCGCAATGGAAGTTAGGTTGGGATCACTCCTGCAGTACATGCTAGTGGGTAACACAGATCCCCCTACCTAGGGAGTCCATCGGGGAACGGGATCACCCAGCTGTTCAAGGGCTCTCCCTAGTGAGGCCAAGGCTTGACCCTGCAATTCAAATACCTTATGGTACAATTTACACATAAATACTGAAAACTGCTTTTATTCCTAGTCCTTATGTGCTGGTGTTTATGTATATTATTTTAATTATTTTGCTTTTGTGGTGGGTTGGAAAGCTGGTAAGAAACAAGGCAAGAAAAGAAGATGGAAGTGTATTTCCACGTGAAGTGGCTGTGAGGCAGCTCCAGCCCCACCATCGCTTATGGCCTGGAGGGCACTGTGCGGGCAGGAGTTGGGCAGCGTGTACAGAGTCTCTGTGGAATGATACTTGGCTGCGAGTGCAGGATCATAGAATCATAGAATCACAGAATGCTTTGGGTTGGAAGGGACCTTTAGAGGTCATCTAGCCCAGCCCCCCTGCAGTGAGCAGGGACAGCTTTAACCAGACCAGGGTGCTCAGAGCCCCGTCCAACCTGACCTGCAATGTTGCCAGGGATGGGGCCTCTGCCATCTCTCTGGGAAACCTGTGCCAGTGCTTCACCACCCTCATTGTAAAAAAATTCTTCCTTATATCCTCTCTAAATCTGTTTTTCTTCCTTGTGCTGTCACAACAGGCCTTGCTAAAAAGATTCTCCCTATCTTTCCTGTAGGCCCCCTTTAAGTACTGAAAGGCCGCAATAAGGTCTCCTCGCAGCCTTCTCTTCTCCAGGCTGAACAATCCCAACTCTCTCAGCCAGAATGGCCGGTGTGTTCGCCTGCTGGGGAACACTGACAGCAAATGTGAGAAGTGGACATGTGGTTATCAGCTCAGTAGATCAATCCACTGTAGGGGGCTACAGGTCCCAAGGAAGCTGCTGTGGTGTGGAGGAGGCAGGAAGGTCTTCCTGTGATGGAAGGAGTGGAGTCTGGTCCTAAGGGAGAGCCCGGTTTTTTGGACTTTGTTTGATCTTGTAGGTCTTTGGATGATGTACATGAATCTACTGGGCTTGATTCTCTAGTTCAGGAAAGCAGATCATACTTGCACCAGCTGAAGACTTATCCCTAACTTGTACCAAAGAAGAAAATCAAAGGTTGAAAATTTCACTAGCCTGGTAGCTGTTACTTGAGATGTGCTTCACTTGCTCCCTACCTTGCATCTGACTTCCATGGGATTTGGGATTGTCTGGAACCATTCAGGAGCTGTCTTTAGATTGGGTTTAAGGCATACTAGCCCAGTACTTTGTTCTATCCTAGAGCAATTCAACATTTTGCTTCTGATCCTCACTGGGGGCTGAGGATGGTGCAGCGCTATCCTTGTGTTCCTGTGCTTGTGGGCTGGAACAGGTTCAGTCTCTAACCCAGAACTGATGTCCCATGGAAAGGGACAAGATGGGTAATGAAGCCTTTAGTCAATATAGGAATGCCTGGCGGGGCTGATCCTCTTGAGGAATCTCTGAAAACGAGGAATTTTTAGCCTGGGTACACTGGCTTTGGGATTAATTTGCCCTGTTCCTGTGACATTAACCAGCCAAGGATCTGAGTTACATTTTCAATGTTTTATTGAACGAAGCAGGAACATGAATTCTCCCCAAGTAAACTTGCTGCAGACTTTAAATCCAGATGCTGTACAGTAAATATTTTTCTCCTCTCTTCTAGTTCACGTGCATTTGCAGATCAAGATTCTCTGCAAAGGAATGGTAAGGCTTTTTTTTTCTGTGGGCTGAGTGGCTGGATACTGGCTCTGTTAGTGCGGCTGTAAAAGATCTTCATTTCCAGATGTCGCTTCTGTTGGCATTAGTGACTGTTCTGTCAAATGTGTTGTTAAAGGATATCCCTCTTTAGAAAATACCCTTTAAAGGATTTGCCTGGTTAAAATAATAATTTACTGACTGACTCTGAGATACAGTGAGAATGTAGAAGAAAGAAGTATTCACTCTCTTTTTTTTTTAACTGAATTAAAATAGAGTTAAATGTTTGAAGGATGGAGCTGTGAGAGTGTCCATGAAATGATCTGTCATCTGTGAAACTTCAGTCTCCTGGCAAGCAGTCAGGCTGTCAGGTTATTTATCACAACTTTGCATCTCTGGCCAGCG